TTGCTCTGAACAGGCAGGATTATTTTTAATATATATGTGTTATTGTCATAATTTTATGCTTATGCTGTTTTGTTAATTTTATGTTATGCTGTTTACTCTGTATTTTTTGGTGATGTTGCTTGGAAACCACCCTGAGTCCCTCTCGGGGAGATAGAGCGGTATATAAATAAAGTTTTATTATTGTTATTATTATATGTTTTGATTTTGGTGCTCTCCTGAGCTTAGCCTGTCACCATCATCAACATAATCATTTCCAGTGTCACATTCTTAACAAAAAGACATTAACAAAAAAACCCATCTCCTCCGTGCCCCAAAAAATCAACAACCTGGAATCCAAAGTGAATTCAACAGAATGGCATTATACTACCATTCTCACTCTATTGAATTTAATGTTGCAAGCACAGTGCTTCTTGGGAAGCCTTTCATTCAACTATCAGCTAAGTCTAAACCTCATTTTCTATACACACACACACACACACACACACACACACACAACAAGATATCTTGTTCCCTTGCCTCTTAGCTCTTAGCTCTTAGCTAGTGCTTTTAACATTCTTAATTGACATAACTATACTGCAATTTAAAGCGATTTTCTGGCTGCCTTATGGGTTTCATAAATCTACATGCCTGAACATGAAGCCATGAACATTAGCATGTGATCTAAAGAGACCAAATTGACAAATTCAGCAATGTTTTGGGCCTGAGTTCAAATCTTCAACAACCTTGGGTACCTCCTCAACAAACGTTTTACATTGTTCGTGGTTTTTTATTTCATTTTTTGTTTTGCTTTAGAATGCAAAATCAAATTAGGAGCTGATTTTAGCAAACTTGATATTCACAGTGAGGACATCCCAAACACAGTTTTAACAAATGTAAGACTGGTCAGCAAACTTCAGCTTTTTTCACAGCTGTTTTTGTCCATTTTATACTGAACCTGATGTGAAGCAAATTGCAGATTCCCCCCTACCCCACCCCCGGGCTGCCCTAACCTGCTCTATTTTATTTTCTTTGGGACCCTGGTGGGTTATAGCCTGTAAAGTAAATTACTTAAACAAATACCACTCAGGCATTTGTTTCATTTAAATTATAATGGGAACTTTGATCATCAATGTAGGGAACACGGGGAAGAATTGATCATGCTATATGATAAATTGCAACAAAAATGGTGGGAATGTTTCCTGATTTATTTCAAACAACAAGAACAGCACTGAAGTGCGGCAATGCTTTGGTAGAACTCGGCTGGTCTGAGAAAGAAAGCAACAACACAGTCACTTTGTTTCCAAGGCACACCTCCAGGGGCCTTTCTCAGGAAAAGAGGTTCACCAACTCTGAACCCTATAGTTGCCCTCATGGCATATATATCAGATATTTCTGCTGATCCTACTAGCTCTCATGGTGTAAGCTTCATCTCAGTGGCAAAACAGGAGCCCCCATGGCGCAATGGGTTAAACCCTTGTGCTGGCAGGACTGATGACTGACAGGTCATTGGTTTGAATCCGGGAGAGTGGGTTGAGCTCCCTCTGTCAGCATGAGCTCCCCATATAGAGATATGGGCAATGTCCTTGCAGACGGCCAATTCTCTCACACCAGAAGCAACTTGCAATTTCTCAAGTCACTCCTGATATGAAATAAAGACAAAATAAAGTGGCACTTCATCTGTTTGAACCCTGAATGACTGGCACCTACACAACATCCCAGATTCCCAAGATATCAGAAACTACACTGCCCACAGTGGTCTCATCAATCTAAAGCAACAATGCCCAACACAGTCCAAAACAGTGAAATAGCATTCCCAACATCAACAGTTACATGACCCTGAATTTCTCCAAATGTTACAGTGATGTAAGACAATCTCCCATGCAAGGACTATATAGAGTTTACATTCCAGTAATGAGCCGGGGGAGGGGGGGGGGAGGGATCTCAAACAGCTGTACAAAGAAGAACCATCTGGCAGATGCAGCACTCTCTAACCTCATTCCCTAGGCAGCACTAAAACATAACATGGTGCATATGCTGAAATTCACTTATCTGCACCACCATGGTTCCGCAAGTGCTAGAGTGGCCCATTTGCACTTCTCCTGGTGCTTTCGGGTTGCAATTCCCATCACCCCTACCAATCGCAACCACTATTGGCAATGGTTGATGAAATGCCAACAAATTGCCAAATTCTGAACAATCCAACCATCCAAAAAAATAACCTTATAAATTTCTATGTGCACAGTAGTTGAGCATTAGTCCAGCGCCACTACAATAATCTGGTGCTCTTTTTGTGAACCCTCGAGTCATATTGTAGCCTTCTTGTAAATTTATGACCCAGGGAATGTTGGGGTTTTGTTCTAAGATTCTGAGAACTAGAAAAAGGGCCATCCAGCCTAACCTCCAGCCACACAAGAAAGCACAATCAAAGCACTCCTGACAGATAGCCACCCAGAAAGAGACGCCATTCCAGGACAGCTTACCATCAGGATGTTTTTCCTAATGTTCAGGTGAAAGCCCTTTTCCTGTAGTTTAAAAGGAGAGCACTTGTTGTGTGCCTTCAAATCATTTCTGACTTACTGTGATCTAGCCCAATGGGAGACCATGAATGGCAGACACTCTCAGTCCCAGAAATCCTGTGATGAGCTAGAAATGACTTGAAGATATATAATGACAAAATGAGAACCTATAATGGGATATTCTTGGGGAGATTTATTTCAAGGAGGCTTGTCATTGCCTTCCTTTGAGGCTGAGAGAGTGTAACTTGCCAAAAGTCACTCAGAGGGTGTTCATGGCTAAATGGGGACAAGAATCCTAGTTTCCAGAGTGATACTCCAACACTTAAACCATTAAAGCCAGCTAGTTATGCTGTTCAGAAATGTAATGACTGGGGATGTTTAGCTTGAAGAAAAGACAGCTGAGAGGGGACATGAGAGCCACGGTTCAATATCTGAAAGACTGACACATTGAGGATGGTGAAAGTTTGTTTTCTGAGCTCCGGAGCATAGGACAGGGAGCAATGGATTTAAACTGCAGGAAAAAATATTCCACCTAAGCATTAGGGAGAACTTCCTGACATCAAGAGCTGTTGGACAGTGAAATATGTTGCCTCAGTTGGAGTACACGTGGTTAACTCTGCACCTCTGGCAGTATGTTTTAACAAGAGGCTGGATGGCCATCTATTGGGAGTGCTTTGATAGCCTGGCAGAATGGGCTTGGACTGGTGGCCCTTGTGGTCTCTTCCAACTCTATGATTCTATGACTGCGAATAGGTATGTTTTTCCCTTTTCAGAACTAGTCGCATCTAACTGTCATTACTTTGTGGAGGAATGAACAATACTTCCCAAATGGGTGTAAAAAAACCCCGTATTTTCTAGGCTTCCATTTTTCTTTATATTATTTTTATATATTAATTAAAAGGCAGGGTGGCAATGCAAACAGTCCCAAGTAACCCTGGAAAAGAAAAGATGGCGGGGAAGAAGCGAAGGTTGGATCTAGTGCAGGCATGGGCAAACTTTCTAACTTTGGGACTACTTGGTGGGGTGGAGTGGGGTGGGTGGGATGGGAGGGAGGGGGTTCTCCCTAAGCCCCCTCCCTGCCCTTTCCCCCCCTTCTTCCTCTTCTCTTTTGGAAGCAGAAAGTCAAAGAAACATGGAAAAAGTCTGGATCCCAAAGGGGTTAGCCTTCATCAGGATGAGATGGTGGACAGTCCTTTAGACCCTGTTTTGCCTACTCCTGATATAGAATCCTAGAGTTGGAAGAGACCCTCAAGGGCCATCCAGTCCAACCCCCTGCCAAGCAGGAAGGAACAATCCAAACACTCCCGACAGACCGCCTCTGCAGAAAAGCCTCCAGAGAAGGAGACTCCACCACACTCCCATGCAACCTATGCCACTCTCCAGGACATTCTTCTGAATCTCTTTCCCTGCCATTTGAAACCATTGCCTCCTTTTGCCCTGGTCTCTAGAGCAGCAGAAAGTCAGTTTCCCCCTCCCTCCTCCTCCTCAGTGGGAGATACCCTTTGAAATGTTGAAACATGGTTCTCAAGTTCCCTCTCTAAGCTTCTCTTCTCCCAACTAAACATCCCCCAGGAGGAAAGGAGGAAAGAAGAGAAGGATGGAAAAAAAGGAAGAGGTGGAAGGGAATGGATGGAGGGGGGGAGGAAAGAGAGAAGGAAGGAAAAACAAAAAACGGAAGGAAGGAAGGAAGGAAGGAAGGAAGGAAGGAAGGAAGGAGAAAGGGAGGAGGGAAGGGGGAGGAATGAGGGAAGGACAAAAGGGGAAGGGGAAGGGAGAAGAAGAGGGAGGTAAGGAAGAAGGGAGAGAGGAAGGAGGAAGGAAGGAAAGAGAGAAGGGAGGGAAAGAAAAAAGGAAGGAAGAAGGAAGGAGAATGAGAGAGGGAAGAAAGAAGGAAAGAAAAAAAGGGAAGGAGAGGAAGGAGAAAGAGAGGGGGGAAGGAGAAGAGGGAAGGAAGGATGAAAGGGTGGAAGGGAAGAGGGAGGGAGAAAGAGGGAGGTAAGGAGGAAGGAAAGGAGAAGAAGAAAAGACAAAGGGAAAAGAAGGAAGGAGAAAGAGAGCAGAGGAAGAAGAGAGGGAAGAGGGAAGGAAGGAAAGACAAAAGGGAAGGAAGGAAGGAAGGAGAAAGAGAGAGAGGGAAGGAGGGAGGAAAGAGGGAAGGAAGGATGAAAGGGTGGAAGGGAAGGAAGGAGGGAGGGAAAAAGAGGGAGGCAAGGAAGCAAGCAAGTGATAGAAGGAAGGAGGAAGGAGAAAAGGAAGGAAGGATAGGATGGTGATAAAGAGGACGACCTTAGGGCCCAAGTGGTCGCATCCGGCCCCGGGACTGGGTTTGTCCATACCTGATCGAGTGCCATAGAATGCAGTTGGAACTGCCCTGTGCGATGGGCCAGCTTGGGCCACCTTGGGCCCTCCAGAAGCTTTGGACTCCAACTCCCCCAATCGGAGTGGAAGCCCAAAAGGCCTGGAGGGAGGGCGGGAGTTTGCCCCGGAGCCTGGGCCGCCGCTTACCTCGGAGTAGACGAAGAGGGGCAGGACGAGGATGGCGAGGAGCAGGTCGGCCACGGCGAGGCTGACGATGAAGTAGTTGGTGGTGGTCTTGAGCGCCTTCTCGGTGCAGACGCTGAGGCAGACCAGCAGGTTCCCTCCGATGATGAAGAGGATGAGGAAGACGCCGAAGGCCAGGGCGGCGAAGTTGTGCTCGGGCTCCGCGGGCGGCGTGGGGCAGGCGGCGGGGGTGGAAGCGTTGGAGGGTCCCCCCTCGGTGCCGTTGGACCCCATGGCCCACCCTCGCCGCTCTAGACACACGGAGCCGCCTCCTCCTCCTCTTCCTCCTTCATGCGGGGGGAAAGGCTCTCCTCTCCCGGGAGCCTTGGGTGGGAGAAGCGGCGCCCAGGCTGCCCCACTCCATGCCGCTCAGGAATGAGGAAAGCGGAGCCACTTGCCGTCGCCGCTGCCTCTTCCTCCTCCTCCTCCTCAAAGAGCTCTCTCCCTTCTCTGCGCAATGCAAGCCCTTTATGTAGCCGAGGAGAGGTGCCAGGCAGCCCTCGGGGGTCTCTCTCTTCAGGAGGAGAGGGGAGAGAGGGAGAGAGAGGGGGGGTGTCTTAGGGCTCCTTCTCCTCTCTGCCTGGCGAGAAAAAGGAAAGCGATGAAGAGCGAAGGAGAGGCGGGAGAAGCCCTGGCTCTGCTCTCCTCTCGCTTGGCCAGGCGCTGCCAAACTTCACAGCCAGGCTGGGAAGAAAGAAGAGCATCGGAGGTGGCGCTCATGCAAAGCCACCGAGTTGGCGCCCAAATCTCTGCGGCCGCGTGGTGGGCGGGAGTCAAGGCTAAGCCGCAGGCGCGCCGGGGCCCAAGTCGCGTGTCTCCTGGAGGAACCTTGGAGGGAAGCGCGCGGCGGAGAGAGAGAGAGAGAGAGGTCGCACGCGCCCCAAGACGGCGGGGTGGAGGTGGTCTACTCGGCCTGGGAAGGAGAGACCCCCTGCCAACGGGGCGCGTCTCCTATAGAACCGGGTTCGAGTCCCACTCGCGGAAGTCCCTCAGAGCTCCCTCAGATCCAATCGTGCCAAGGAATCCGGGATTGGCTCAAAGGCGCGCATAAGAACATTGCCATGGCATTGCTTAGAGCGCTCCCCTCCTATATAAGTCTGTCACCTGTATGGCGCAATGGGTTCAACCCTTGTGCCGGCAGGATTGCTGACCAACAGGTCTGCGGTTCGAATCCGGGGAGAGCTCCCTCCGTCAGCTCCAGCTCCCCGTGTGGGGACATGAGAAGCCACCCAAAGGATGGCAGAACATCAAACACCCGGGTGTCCCCTGGGTAACGTCCTTGCAGACGGCCAATTCTCTCACACCAGAAGTGACTTGCAGTTTCTCAAGTCGCTCCTGACACACACACACGCACACACAAGTCTGTCCGACCAAGGAATAATAGGTTAGGAGGCAGACACACACACACACACACACACACAAAGTCTTGTCAGGCCAAGCTATTTAATAGGTTAAGGGCCAGAAAAGGTTGCTGCTAAATGGGATGGAGCAGCTCCCACGCTTAGAGTTGACGACTAGTTTATTGACTCTATTGATACCCGTCCCTTCTCACCCCGAAGGGGACTCAGGGCGGCTTACAAGTCGGCACAAGTTGATGCCGCATATGCGAACATACAACAATACAAAACATATAGATTAAAACCAAAGAGTTAAAAACACCTCAGCTTTAAAGCCAATGATCAAAACCACCGCGCAATCCAAGAGCATAGTCCAGAAGCCACCCCAGTATTCCGTGTTCACTGATTGCCCTGGGAATTACTGTCCAAAGGCATGGTCCCAGACCAGTTCGACCTGAGGAGTTGGTGCCCTTCCTGCCCTCCAAGCACATGTTTCCAAACAAGTGTGGGATCCACCCGGAGCCCCTGGGAGGGAGGGAGGGAGGGAGGGAGGGCTGCACGAAGAAAGGGGGAGAAAGGCGCCACCCCCACTGTCTTCATCATGGGAAGATTCACCCCCAGAAACGTATGCATCTGTTGGAAGGAGCAGATGTGTTGAGTCATTCATGGCATCCCAGGCAGAATTCCGTAGGTGACACTGGTACAATGCGGATCACACAAAAAGCAAATCGCAGGAACAAGCTCTGGGGGAAGAGAGAGAGGTTCAATTGTTTTCTGGGGGAAGATAACAAGACACCTGGCACTAAATGCAGAATATTCCACCTGGAAAGAGATGTTCCAATAACAGAGGCACCAGGTGGAGTCAAGGTGTATGAACTCTGCATAACAAAGGGAAAACTATATGTTGTGCTGTAAATATATATGCTACATATACACAGATAGCAGATTGCTATATCACTATTGAAAAAAACTGATAATCTGATGTAAATGGTTCTGGCCCAGTTTAGCTGTCCAAACATGCCTCCTCCTATGGACCATCTTGGAGATTAAGATCATTAGGGGAGGCTCTGCTCTCAGTCCCACCCCCTGAGCACATGCAACTGGTGGGGAGGAGCGACAGGACCTTCTCAGTGGCAGCCCCTTGGCTATGGAACTCCCTCCCCAGTGACATTAAATCAGCCCTCTTCCTCCTAGCCTTCAGAAGGAAAGTAAACACTTGGCTGTGGGATTAGGCTTTTGGAGAATAGTGCAATAACAGATTTGGAATATGTACAATGACCACGGAATGGCTTGGACTACGATGGAATGGAATGTTTTTAGGTGTCTAATATGTATTAATTTTAACTTAAGTTTTAATCTTTAATTTTAATTTTGGAATTGGATGTGTTTATGGCATTGAGTAATTGTCTCTATGTAAGCCGCCTTGAGTCCCCTTCGGGGTAGAGAAAGGTGGGGTATGGATAGGGTAAATTAAGTCAATAAATAAATAAATAAATAAATAAAAGAAGTGTCATTTCTTGGAATGAGGTTTCACACTTCTACGTAGGGCAGAGATGGGCAACTTTGGCTGTCCTATAATATTCCATCATTGGTTATGCTTTTTTTTTTTGGTCAGGAGCAACTTGAGAAACTGCCAGTCGTTGTTGGTGAGAGAGAATTGGCTGTCTGCAAGGACATTGCCCAGGGGATGACCATATGCTCTGATGTTTTATCATCCTTGTGGGAGGCTTCTCTCATGTCCCTCCATGGGGAGCTGGAACTGACAAAGGGAGCTCATCCATACTCTACTCAGATTTGAACCTTCGACCTGTCAGTCTTCAGCTATGCTATGCTGGTTAGGGCTGATGGCATTATAAGTAGCTGGTCTTAACACTGCTCATTGTTTTTAAGAAAATACTTACAAGACCTAGTTATGATGTGCACAAGGTCAGTGCTCTAGTTTTATTTCTGTACTGTCAGGAAATAACATACAAGACATTTTCATAGACGTTCTTCTAAGATTGCGCCATATATGAACATCATTTAAAAGCAAGGAAAGACTCCTGCTATCAAACTGACTTTAACATATAATGACTCTCTCAATGAGAGACTTCAAAGATCCTGAGTCATCAACTGACCTGCTCAGATCTTCCAAAGTCAGGGTCATGGCTCTAGGAACCATTGATTTGCATGGTCATTCTTTTACTTTGTGTCAACAATCTCATATGTCCAAAGTATGACAGCAGCCATCTGTTTCAAACTCTGGACTCATTGTTTTGCTTTTTTAGTGGTATACAGTATCCTTACAATTCTCTGTAGCACCACTTTTCAGATAGGTTGATTTTCTTTTTGTCAGCTTTCTTCATCCTCCTGCTTTCATAACCATACATAGAAATTGGAAATCCTGTGTGCTGAATGATTCTGATTTTGGTACTTAATTATATGTGTTTACACTTCAGAATCTTGTCTATTTTCTTCAATGCTCTCCTTCCAAGTCTGAGTCTTCATGTAATTTCTTTATTATGGTCTCCATTTTCACTCATAACTGAACCAAGTACAGTATAGGAAATCTTTATCATATTAACTCAGTTCTGCAGTTTACAAGAAAACGGATGTGTATTTTTGTATCTTTTGTTTGCATGTAAAGCTGATTCAACACAGACCCAATAAATGTTTCTCCATATATCGAAACACAGGTTGTTATTTATTTAGCTAAATAGCAGCTTCTATATTATCAAGTCAACTCTGAGATGGTTGAAAGGCAAACTATTCACTGGCAAATAGGTTCAGGTTTTGGAGTGTATAATTTCCCCCACATTAGCATACATTTGACTCCAAAGAAACTCAGGGTGCAACTACTCTTTAGAATTAATGCAGTTTGTAATCACTTTAACTGCCATGGTTCAATGGGATCATGGGGACTGTAGTTTAGTTAGGCCAGTGGTTCTCAATCTGTGGGTCCCAAGGTGTTTTGGCCTACAACTCCCAGAAATCCCATCCCGTTTACCAGCTGTTAGGGTGATTGGGAGTTGGAGGCCAAAACATCTGGGGACCCACAGGTTGAGAACCACTGAGTTGGGCAGTAGGACTCTTTGACAGAGGAGGCTTAAGACTTACAACTGCATCTCCCATGACTCCATAGCATGGATCCACTGCAATTAAATGGTGAACTGTATTAATGCTACAGTGTAGATGCACCCTGAGTTGTTCCAGAAGATACTGCAGTCTGTTATATGATTGGACAGAATCACATAACTATATCCAGCCTAATGTCATGTAAAACTACCAGGATAATCATGGATTATGTAGTGGTCTGGATTTGGTAGTGGTCTGGGCCCACATATATGCTCCTATGTTATCAAAGTACGATATCTGGTTCCCTTAAATTGTGGGAATAAATTAACATAGTAGATGTCTACCCAGTAAACCTCCAGGGAATAAATCTGGAGGAGATAAAATTCAGACTGAAAATAAATATTTTTTTTTCATGTAATACTTCTTTTGAAGATTTAATAACTATTTATTAGGTATCAAAAATGTGCATACAAGGAAGGGGAGGAGGTTGAAGGAACCCAGTAATTGTTTCAGTGTGATCTTTCATGGATGTCAATCTACTTCTTCACATCCATTTCAGTACGTCTGAAGAAGTGAACAAAAGTGTGCAAGCTCAGGAGTTTTCCAAAACTTTTAATTCAGTTAGGCAGTATCAAATATTAGGAGAAAGAGAAGAACCATATGATGTGACAAGTTTAGAAAAGTGAAATCTAAATAATGATACATATACCATGAATATCAAGAACAGTTGGATTTTGCATGGCTAAAAGTAGCCTCCTGCACTGTAAATCCACCAAGAACCCCACATATTTAGAAAAGTTACTAAATCTGAGTCTACCACTTTCATGGTAAGGAAAGATTGTTTAAAATTCTGGGACAGCTATCTGCTGAAGCATTTTGCTACTGGCTAATTAATTTTGCCAGTAAGGACATCTGGCTGGTAATTATTAAATCACTGCAGTATTCACACTCAAAGAGTATCTCCTGCATACTTACTGAGGTAACACAAAGCCTTCTGTTGGCTGTGCAATATTTGTGGATGAAAAATTGATATAAACTCCAAACATCTTTAGTTTCCAGTAGAAACCATGGAAAGGCAGGTCAAATGTGTGGTAGTCTCCATTCTGAATAAATAAGTCATGTATAATGTGGATGAAAGCAATCTACTTAAAACTATGAAAAGATGCATAAAATAAGTCTTTAGAAGAAAACAAAGTCCTGGAGGGTTCTCCGGTCCAAATGGCAATCCAGAATGCTGAATGTCTTGCTGAGATGGAATACTTTTAATATATTAATACGGGGTAAACCACTGCCTCCTCCTGAGAAAAATGTATAATATCACAAAGGACTACCACCTCACCCGCCTCATAGGAAACCTGCTACAAAACAGGAGCTTCTTTGTTGAGTTCCAGAGCCAAAGAAGCAGATGGCGGAAACAGAAGAATGGCCTGCCTCAGGGGAGCGTGCTTGCTCCATCAATGTTCA